TGTGAGAGAGCGAGAGTGTGTGTGTGTGTGTGTGTGTGTGTGTGTGTGTGACTGTGTGTGTGTGTGTGAGTGTGTGTGTGTGCCCCCGAACTGTCGGAAAGGTATACAGACCAAAACTTCGCAGCGGAGTGACTGGTCAGGACTTGGAATCTGGAATGTCTTGCGCTAACGTGCGATGTACTTCTCAAAACCACCTGTTAAGAGTAGGCAAGCTGCTAAAGGGCAGAAGATCTTTCAACAAGGTATATGTAGCTTGCAACGGCCCGAGGTTCTTGATGATTGACAGCAATGCGATGGATGTCAAGCCTTACGATGCAGATCCGGAGCACAACCTCTGCGGACGCCTGCACAACCCCGCGGGTGCTTCTTGTGCCGCGACGGGTGGGCCGAAGGACCTTTCGGAGTGCTTTCGCTGGTTCTGGGACCTTTGGAGCAAAGAGCAGAAGCCTTGGGTCGAGCAGAAGCTTCAAGCGTCTGACGCTGACTGGCAGATCATAATAACTCACTTCCAATGTGGCACACAGGCAGAATGGTTCAAGCGACTACGCCAAAAGTTTGGTCTCGATCTGCTGGTAACTGGCCACACGCATACCCAGCAAGTCTTCCACAACTCCGGCTTGCTCGGAGGCATGACCTGTTTCATTACTGGAGGTGGTGGAGGCAGGTCTTGCCTAAACTTCGAGCTCCTCACCTAGCCATAGCCCCACACCCTTTACTAAGCCAGATTGCGAAGCATCCACGAGCTGCTCAGGCATTGTCTCGGAGGGTGACGCCACTCCCTACAGGAGCAGTCAGTATGGTTTCTTTGACATGACCATCAGCAAAGAGAAGATTGTGTTGGAATCTATAAACCATAACGGAGTCACGCTCGGGAAGTATGATGTTCTTCCATTTAGAGTGTGACCAGCCTTATTAAAGCAACAGCTGCTCGCGCACAAGACGGTGAGATGCGGTTGCTATAATTTCCCCGCATGCTGATCTGTGTAGGGTTTCCCTGCCACAAGTGCATTGCAGAGCGGCTTCAAACCGCAGGGCGTAAAATCTCCGAGACCATGCTTTGTTACACTCTCGCGTTTTTGCATGCATCGAAGCACATTCTGACAGGAGACAGCCTGGACATTGTGCCGCCTCTGCAACCAGGATTTCAATTGCTCGGCGATTGACACAGCGGCAGTTGATAGAAGTCTTGTATCTCGGGTATGATGCAGACTGGATTCTTGCGACCTGTTGCGGGGGTGTGGTGCCCGACCAGGCATTCACGGTGTCGGATACTGTGGATCCGGACATGCTGTTAGTCTTACAGCTGCTCAGTGATCTTGGTGCGAGCCGATGACGATGACAATCCACATG